TACACTCAAACGTACTGGGAGCTAAAACTTCCCGGATCTCAGCACATGGCGGCCAGGGAAGACACCCACTTGCCGTCCCCTGGCTTGGGGAAGAGCTGGAGACTTTCGGGCTTTGGGGTTAATCTTGGGACCTTGATAACTGACCGGGAGTCTGTGGGGATTTCATATACCACAGTTACACGGGAAAATGAGGTATAGTATTACAATGACTCAGACCTCAAAGCCATGGCTTTAGAGCTGTAGTGCACGCCTGCCAATCGACGGTGCACAATAGTCAATATTTCAGCACCGATCCTGTCGACAAGATGCCCCTAGATCGAAAACATCGCCGCAATGCCACGGCTCGAAGACCTCAAACTGAAAGCCACAAAGCCCACACCCCCGAATCTGCACAGCCAAGCCGTGCTCATGATTTGCTGGGCCCCTTTTACTTAAAGCAGGGCCAGGCACAAACCTCGTGTTCAGGGTCAACGCCTGCGCCACCTGAAACCCTCCCGTAACCAGTCTCAAGCTGGGTTTAGAAGAGCCCTCCCTAGTCTTTGACAGCCGCGGCCAAGAACCAATACCCCAGCAGCAAGTTGAGGGCCTAGCTAGTAGAACAGAACCCCCTGAACCCCGGTCTAATTATTGAGGCTCCTTTCTATGCTTGGCTGTTTTGCACTTTGTAATGTTTGGGCTTCTGGTGTGGGCTTCTGGCGTGGGTTTAGGGCTTCGGCTTAGAGTTGTGGGGGGCGGTTGGGGGTTCAGAGCCAAAGCCCGTTCCCAAAGCTGGGCCTAGGCAGGTCGTGGCCACGGGCTTCTTAGAAGCACTCGACCAAAGCATGATGTTCCCATCCTCCCGTTCAGTGGGCAACCGGCTCCGGATTGTATTTACGTCTAGGGTGGCTCACCAACTTGTCGGATTGAAGGATTTCTGCTTCAGTGCGCGCGAACGGAAAGAGAGGGGCTTGACGGTTCAGGGCAGCAGACGTAAGCCGTTTCGAGTCGAGATTCAGCCTGCCCTACACCATGAATCCTTATCCAAGACCCATGCCATCAGGACTCAACCGGCGAACCCGACAACGAGACTCCTTGCACCGTGAAGCCTTATCACCGCTTAGCCTTATTCTCGCAAGGACCCTAAACCCTAAACCTCAACCGTGTCGTTGGGCTCCAAAGGTTTGCTGGCCCTGGGCCGAAGTTCTACAACAGCTAAAGCATTGGGGTTTAGGGCTTAGGGTCAAACCATGGTGGTGACTGACTGGTTGGTTAGCAGGAGCCTCTCTGGATAACGCAGAGCAACGCAAGGCACCTGCCCACCCGAAACGAACTGCTCAGCGTCCACTACGCTCACGGCGTCCACGGCATAAGTATGCCTGAACTTTTCAAGGTTTAGGGCTTCTTATATGCTGAGGCCAAGCGAAAACTGGAGGCTCTGACAGCAAGGATAAGGCCCCAAAGCGAAGTGCTGTGGACGTGTACACCCACACAGAACAACACAGACGAGGGATTTCGGGCTTGAGATGCAACGAAAAGCCTAAACCCCTAAACCCATAGCCCTGGACCAAGCATGTGAAGGACTGGTAAAGGAGTAGTGAGAAGAGGGTCCTGTCAAGGCCCTGCGTCCGTCCCTCACATGGTGTGTGACGAGCGTTCGGACCATCGCGGAACAAAGGCCTGAAAGACTTGGAACAATGCTTGCTCTTTTTTTGCGACGGAGGCCCCACTACCCTCACACAAGGCCCCAAACTACCAGTTGTTGAGGCTCTCCGAATTCAAGGATTTCCAGTTCTCCGCAAGCACAAACTCGACTAAACCCGGAAGAAACCGCAAAATCCTGAACCTAAAAAAACGGCTCAAGATGCCAAGCCTCGTAAACATGAGGTGTGTGCCTTTGTCTACCTGGCATGTGGGCTACCGGGTTTAAGGAATTTTCTTCCTCCGGCTTTAGTGTTTGGGGTACGGTTTAGGGTTTTGAGGGTTTATGCAACATGGTCTCCGAGAGGCTTGAATGGGCTGCTGGAAGAGGCTCTCGAGGCTGTTGCCGAATTTCGGTTAGTCGTGGCCCACAGGGACAGCATTTAGGACTCTATGAATGAGCTCGACCACTGGCGTGGATGTTCTTTGCACAACTTGATCTCGAAAGCTTCTGATCTGTCGACTGCTGCCTCTGCGAAAAAGTGAAAAACGTTGGGCTTTTCGGTGTAGGGTTATGGCTGTAGGGCGAAACGGCTTTGGGTTAGGGATTAATATTTACGGGCGTAGGGGCGCAGCCCTGTGGTACACCATGCAATAGGCAGCACCTGGCATCCTCGGCCGCAGCCGGTTTCGGGTAACGAGCATGAGGTATTCGCGCCGGTGCCCGAGCAAGAACAGCCCCAGGCGGTCAACTCGCAACCACAATTTCCTAACCCGACATCCCGAAATGCAGAGAACGGGAAGCCCGAAACCCTGGCCCAACCCAAACCCTGAGTCCCAAACCCGAAATCACCATTGACCCGAAACCCGAAACAAAACATAAAAACGCAAATCCCTAAACCTTAAACCCTACTTAGCCCGAATCCATCCCTGCCTTCCAAAATCGGACAGACTTGTCGGCGCCCCCGGAGAGTGGCTTGCCCCTGAAACCAGTAGTTTAACTTAGGATTTAGGGTTTCGGGTTTAGGGTTTAGGGTACCAGAGTAATCGTGATGGTAATCGTGATGGTAATGGTCGCCGTGATAATCCTCGTCATAGCATATGCATGTAGAAACAGCAATGAGGCAACAGTAGTGGCTTCACAAAAAACGCCCGAGGTTCTTGAACATGGAAGTCTGGTGATTGGAAGCCGAAACCGGTTTCAAGATTGTTGGGTATGAACTGCCTCAATTCCCTAAACCCTAAACCCTAAACCCTAATCCGTGCGATTCACGGCTTGGGTTTCGGGTTGCGGCTGAAACTCAGTGCCGAGGGGAGCGTCGAAGCAGGGGCGGGCACCGAGCTCCGAAGAATGACGCTTGAGGGCTTAGGGTTTTCTACCGCGAAAAACCAACTCCATCTCTGGAACTCTGAGCCTAAGAAGGGAAATTTAACGGCCTTTAGATTCGGGTTGGAGGGTTTGAGGTTTCAGACTTGCGGGGTTGGCATGTCGGGGTTCCGGGTTTAGGGTTTCAAGCCTTACCCCGGCCCTAAACCCTGCTTGCAGGCTCTTTGAGTCTGTAAGTCTACTCAGTATCCCCTGCTAGTATCACCCCTGCAATCATCCCTACTAGCCATGTTCAAAGCGGCAATCGGATTTACTTGCATCTACAAGGTCCCAGTCTCGATTATTCGGGCCTTCATGATTGGAACAGATTTTGGTTGTACAATACTATACACCGGTAACAGATGAATTATTACGTTTTGAGATCGCCACCTGAGGCTTAGGTTTGGATTTCCATTTACAATCAACCAGCCCTCGCCCCTCAAACTAAGCAGTGCTTTATGCGTGTTCATTCGGGTCTGTGTCCATCAAGGCTTCCTTCGGGTTTGAACGGGTTTTGTCAGGGTCTTACTAACCTTGAACTCGCTCCACCCTATGTGCTGGACCTCTCTACAGCCTGCCTTCTCTTATCAGTTTAGGGCTCTGGGAGGTGGCTCACAGTTTATAGGCTCGTGGTTTCTTTTAAGTGTTTCCCGTGGGGGCCAATGAACTTGGGCTCGTGCTTGACGAGGAGATCCAGCGAGGTCACTGCATCGACATGGCCCAGCAAGGTTTCCATACACCTGATCTTGCTGGACCAAAAAAAGTACACCGGAACTAGTGCGGTCCGGAACTCGGCAGAGAATAGAGTCCCAGCCTTCGGCTGCAAACTTCAAAACCTAGACTTACTCGACCCTACCCCCAGGGCTTACAACAATGCGAACCCAGAGGTCCAACAGCGGAACCTTCGCGTCTTGAGATCCCAGATCTTCAGGGACTTGTCCGCGGAGGCTGTGTAAAACTGCCAAGTGACAAGATCTTGTGGCTTGGTATTCAGCATCAACGGGTTGGAATTTAGCTCAGAGTCCTTCGGTGTTCCTGTCTAGAGATAACTGATACGGGTTCTGGGCACGAGATGGCACGAGGGTTCGATGGACTCAGCGGCTTATGCTAAAAGCCGCAGCAAGCAGAAAATGTGCAAGTAAAGGCATGCAACAATAAGAGCACACCTACACACAGAACTGAAGACCACCTTCTCTGAGAAAACCTACAATGCCAAACCGGCTTCTACTCTGAAAACTGATGAAACCCTGGGCGTTCTGTCCAATCGAACTTCAAGCTGGCCTTTTCTGCGGGTCCGAGGTCTTGTCTTACTTTGGAGTCGCTGTTGCTTGGGGGCACGGGCAAGCTTTGCACTTCCAGCTGCAGGGCTGGGGGTTCCGCTCCAAATCCGAATTTTTGACATTGTGTGAAACAGCATCTTAGACGAAGCCAAAGCTGTTGCAGCATTTCGGAGCCCAGAGATCCTGCCTATTTCTCCACAGAGATACCTGGACACTCCAAGATCTCCTATAAGACTGTCAGGAAGAGATATGCCTGAAGGATAGTTAATAGTAACGGTAATGACAGAATAGGAACCAGAAATCAAGAAACCCCTAGTCCAACCGATTCTGATGTCAGCGACAGCAATAGCAATCCCAAATAAACAGAACAATCCACAATCTGCGCTTTTCAGGCGAGGATAGAAGAGCCTCTGAACTGTTGCGACCTTACAGTGAACGTTGTCGGCACTCCTGTATGTTCACGGCTCACCCAAACCCTGAACTTCTGATCTTGGGGTGCCATCGCTTCAGGCTTGAGGACCGGTTAGTTTGGAAAAGGAATATGTCGAATAAACCCAGCCACATGTTATGCCCCCTCTAGACCCGCCATGGACAACTCCTCCGCCATCAACTTCGAATCCTACTGACTGCTAGGATGACTAGAGAAACATCTCTGCAACATCGTCTTCTGCTTTTCCGTCTGCGGCGTCGCCATCCGCTCTGTGTCTTGCCCTACTTCGACGACGACAGCTCGGGACAATGATGAGCATGCTCGCAGCCACCGGTCCAGTCGACACGCAGAGGGCGCCCGCTGCTTGGATCGTCGTAGTCTTTGCACCAGTCTCCCTGGACCGGCAACAACTTCAGAAGCATGAGCTACCTGACAGAACTTCTTAACGACAAACCAGAAAGACCACCCCCTCCTGAAGTATCCGAGCTTCTTCCATGAACTCGTTCACGACTTTGCACACTTTGCCGGCCGACGCAACACTCCTACCATAACAGCAGTGAATCATTGGTATGCTCTTACCCGACGCGTTTGCACCAGTCTCCTCCCACCCACAGAGCTTGCCGTTCAGGGTTCAGGGTTTAGAGTTTAAGGTTAGCCATGGCATCATCGGGCATAATGTCGTATCTACCTCTCAGCCGGCAACCGAAGGAACTTAGCTCTCTTGAAGCAGTACCGTGCCTGGCTTGCAGAATCGGAGCGCATCGCGCCCGACGACAGGAATGCACATGCGAGCGTTACCGTGAGCAGGCGGGCCATGGTGCAAAGCAATGTATCTTCAGACAGCAAGTTTCTTTGAGGAATGGAAACGCTGCGGCCGCAATCGAAGACTGCTCATATTCGCGTGGCAGAACATGTTGACCACTAGATCTGCAGCGAAGATTCAACAGGAGGCTCTTGGGTTGGATTCCAAGTCACGTCTAGAGTCTAGACTGTTGCGGATGTGTCTGAATGCTGAGACTGACACCCCGAAACCCTAAACCCTGGACCCACGCTGAGGTTGGGCTTTTGTGCGAGAAGTGGCATTCCCTTCATGTACATATGGCAGTTCAAGCCCCTTCAAGGGACCATGCCTTCGAATAGTTACTCCAACTTGTGAACATCCTGCTGAATCCGCCACGAAGGGCCTGCTCTCCACCTACATCGGCCACCACCGAGGTGGTCTCCTTCATGTGCCCATGCCTGCAGACGTCGGCTGAAGCACATGGGGGGCGATATCATCCTGGTAATGGTGCTATCGCGATTACCACCAGCTCGTTCTCTGGATGTCAGTCGTTGCCCTCCTGCCCGCCACCGGGTTGGAGTGGCAGCCACCGCTACAAATCTTGGATCCTACTTGAATGACAACTACTCACACGACTCCTCCTCATGATAATCTAAAACTACGGAAATGTGCACTGAAGCCTGTGGAGCATGTCCGAAAGACTGTCTGGCGACTCTTGTGAAAGAACGTACTTCAGGACCCTATTCCGAGCTTCGCACAGGGCGCCAACACAGCCTGGGCCACAGCTCCACAGTAGTGCCAATTCGAAGCGGTCATGGCCATCATCAGCATACAGGATTGCAACCATTGTAGCATCAACATGCATAATTCGTTAATCCCTGTCACCTGCCAGCAAGTTCATCATCTCAACGCACCAAGGCCGTGAGCATTCCCGTCACCCTAATCATCACCACCATCATCATCCGCACCATCAGCAGCAACAGCATCATCATGCTGGTCATAACCGTTCAAACATAATGTTCATCACCATCATCGTGAGCGGCATCACCTGGCTCTTCCCCAGCACATGCTCATGCCTGTCATCACCATCATCATCATCACCATCGTCATGATCATCATCATTATGACCATCATCATCCTCAGCGGCAGCATCATCATCATCATCATCATCATCACCAGCATCATCATCAGCAGCAGCATCATCATCAGCAGCGTCAGCATCATCAGCAGCAGCACCACCATCAGCATCATCATCATTTTCGTCTTCAGCAATGGCAGCCGAAGCAGCGGGAACATCAAAGTCAGCACCACCACGGCCATCGTGACGGACATAGCGAACACCGCCCACCACCATCGTTGTGGCTGTCGCTGGTCGTGATAATAAGCATCGCCGTCAGCTTCGCCAGCATGCTGAGCAGCAGCGGTCGAATCATGATCGTCATCGCCAACATCAAGACAAGCACCAGCGCCATCTCCGTCGGCATCATCATCGGCAGCACTGGACCAGCAGACCAGCAGTAGCAACATCACAGGTAGCTCAGCAGAAATGAGGCTGACAACCGCAGCAGCAACGACAAAAGGGAGAAACCAGGAACAGGAGTAAGAAACAGAACAGAAGCAGCAGCTGAAGTAAGAGCGACTACCACAACGACAACAGCAAGCAAGACCAGCCGCTGCAACAACACCAACGACAAGAACAACAAGAGCACTCCGCGGCATTATCAACAACGTCAGCAGCAGCAACAACAACAACAACAACAACAACAACAACAACAACAACAACAGCAACAACAGCAACAACAGCAACAACAGCCACAGCCACAGCAACAGCAACAGC